AGCATGGAGCTGTGGCAGGGAAGTTGTAGGTTTGGATATCAGGGAAAGGTCCTTCCCCCAGAGGGTGGTTGGGCACTGAACAGGGTCCCCCAGGGCAGTGGTCACACACCAAAGGCTGCCAGAGCTCCAGAAGCATTTGGACAATGCTCTCAGGGACAGGGTGGGATTTAGGGGTGTCCTGTGCACTGGACTCAGTGACCCTTGTGGGTCTCTTCCAGCTCAGGATATTTTATGATTCTGTGATTCCATCTTATGCAACGGTTGCTAGATAATATCTACATTGCTCAAGGGTGGTTATTTATTTGTGGAAGGGGAGCAGAGAGAGGACAGAAGGACACACCACTGCATGGATGCTATTCCTGCTGGTGCTTCCTCTCATTTGCCTGCTGTGCTGATGTGTTTATGAAATACAGGCAGATTTATGGAGCAGCTTTGCATCCTTGAAGCATCCATTGATTCCCATCTGCAGCCTTCTGGGCTGATACACTCTCCATTCCCAGGTGAGGAGCCCAGACACCAGGGATTAGTCAGCCCAGGGTGACACAGATCTCTATTAAAGCTTGGATTTATTCTCTAAGCTTCACGAAATTCCCTGCTAAGATCTGCTTCCATGGCCGCTTTTCCTCCTATACAAGTGAATTTTTGACAAGTTTAAAAGTTTGCCTTCAGTATCCTAGGGTCACACAGGTTTCAAACAGGCAGTCCTGGATATGTCTGTCCACAGAACAGCAAGTGCCTGGCTTTGAACCACTCTTATCCAGCCGTGGCTTGTTTGTGTTTCCTCAGAGGCACAGAGCTTCCTGAATAATTTGTTACCCCGTGTTTGAGATGAGTGCTCTGTTAGGGAGGAACATTGTGCCCACTTCTCCTCCCTGGCAACTATTTTTGTTTTCAGTTAATGCAGTGCAGTCAACCATCACCATTGGTTCTCCCCAAAGCTGGAACAGCGCTGTGGTCAGGTAGTGTTGCTGTGAGACGACTGGAGCTCCTGCGTGCCCAGTCACACACTTCTGCACATACAAATGTCTGCACACTGCTCTGTGCTGGTGCAACCTGCTTTCATGTCATCCTTGCTGAGGAGGGAGTTGTTCTTATTTTGTGTGTATGTGTGTGTTGTGGGAGTATCTTACCTCTGTGGGAGTCTCTGTAAGCACAGGACTGCTGACCCACACTGAGATTTGCATGACAAGTGTTGGGCACGAGGAAAAGGACTTCAGAGGAGTGCAAACACAACGCCACAATTCCTTTCCCAACCTCTCTGAGAAAGTGTGTCTTCATGCTCTAATTAAACAGCAGGTTGACATGTTTTTGCTGTTTTGATTGCCTTTGAACTTTGGCGGTGTGATAAACAAACTTTGCTTCCCTGCCTACCAAGAAGTTGCAGTGCCTTGAAGCAGTTTGTCTCTGTTCTGATGTGGCAGAGCTCAGCACCCTCCTCCAGCGGCATCCTACATGTGCTGCCAACAGCAGGGCGGGCTGGCAGCTGCCATGGTGTGACAGGTGATGAACTGGAGATGCTGGAGCTCTGATGTCTCTTTGATGGCCCCTTTCAGCTCGCTGAGATTTCAAACGCCAGCGCTCAGTAAACAAACGGTTCCTCAGCCCTCGGCAGGCTGGGGCTGGTGGGGGTGCAGAGCACATTCCCTTGGATTGTGGTGAGTGCAGACACTTCACGTGTCTGGGAGCTGAGATGAGTAATCCGGGGGGAGGAAGGAAAGCAGGACGAACGGACTGGTTGCCACGTGGCATAAATGAGAACTAAAACTGTCAGCCAGCTCCCAAGCAGCTTGTTCGTGTTTCAAAGTTTGTCCACGGAGAACAGTACAGCAGGTCCCGTTGGGGGAGATGTGCTGTGTGGGGTGGGCTACCCCAAAATTGCACAGTGGCCTGGGGGGGCTGCTCTGACCTCCAGCAGTGTCCACTCCATCAGAGATGACAACAGGAACCCTTGGACAGAGCCCCAAGGAGCCTCACAGGCTGTGGTCACTCTCTGAGTGGTGTCACACATCCCCTGGATTAGCAGATGCCAGAGCATCCACACATCAGGTGCTGAAGAGGAGATGGGGGATTAGCAAGTGGTGCAGAGAAAAGAAATACATCCAAAACCACTATTGACTCTCTCAGAATATGAGACTGGCAGGTAAACGTGCAGCTCCAGAAGAGGATTATGGTTCATGTGATGTACAATGAACCTGCCCAACTTGCCGGCATCATAAAATTTGCAGAGGATTAGGCAGCTTTTTCTGGATTTAAGTTTATATTGAAGCAAACTGTTAAAGACAGCAGGACTTTCACTGAAGGAACAGCAGCTTCATGACTTGCTTTTGGTACCAGTGTCATTAACTGGCACGTCGAGCTCAGCGTTTCTGCAGCTGTCCCCCATTTCATGTGTGTAAATGCACTGGGATTTCACTCCAGGGTTTGAAGACTTAAGTCAGTGAAAAAAGTGAGCTGCATTTTCCTAAGATGAGGGGCGGACAAGCCGTCTGCTTAGGGGGATGGACAAACTGCCCACCCTGGAGCCAAGAGGACACTCATCTCCTCCTTGAGATGTCCACACTGCCTACACAGGACTGTGCGTATTCTCTGGATCATCTGGCACAAGCCACTGTCAGCAGCTCATAAATTACAGCTCATGCCTGGTGTCACAATTCCCGTGTGAAATACCGAAGGCTGGCTTTAAATAATGTGACAGTGTCCCTTTTCATGTCCACATCGTGAGCGCCACAAAGCTTTCAGCCTCCTTGCTTCCATTCTGCAAGTGTGAAAGAAAATTTATCTCTGGCAGTTTTTTTCCGTGCCTGTTGGCAGGCGGCCCAACGTGCCTCAAATAGCAGCGAACACGATGAGCTGAACCTGTGCTTGTTGCAACTCCATTAATGCCGGAGGCACTACACCTCAGATGCATCAGGAGCATTTGGTTAATGTCCCCAAACAAGTTTGGATTACACTGCTTTACCCCAGCAAGCATGGTTTTATGATAAGGTTGGTGTTCTGACTTCTTTGGAAGCATTCTTGCCTTTTTTTTTTTTTTTTGGTAATATCTACTATATAAGTCATAGATTAACAGGCCATAAAGGTAGAGGAATTTGTGAGAATTGGAAAATGCCTGTTTGTAGAAGTTACTGGTATTCGTTATGAGCAGGTTTCTTGGTGTTTTCACTTGCTGCTATTTACCATTGCCAAATTCAGTGTTGAAATCTGATACTTCTAACTCACCATGTGGTCCAAACTGAGGTGAACACAGGGACACAGCAATGGAAACAAAACCCCATTGTTTTACGACTCAGCAAACATTCTTTAGACTCTGCAGGTACCGGCTTCTTCACTTCCTCCTCCGGAGAGGAAAGAACTATTTGAGTTATGCAAAGTCACTCCTCTTTATTTGCAAACAATGGCAAGGCTACACCTTCTCAGGACTGGGTTTTATTGCAGCCCTGCTGCTCCTTAAGGACTTCAGCACAGCTGGAGCCTTCAAGACACTCCTAAAACATCCTAGACCTTGAAGAGATTTGCAGTGGAAATTCAGCCTCTGAGTAAGAGAAAAACAATTTGGGGACCGGGCAGTGAAATTTGCAATTTGAACCAGAGAGCTTTCAAAGGATTAATTTCCAGCTTTTATGGCGGTGACATTGATTTTGAATGAACTTGCCTGCGGTTTGTAGTTTTTACTGTTTCATTTGTTCAGCAGCTGAGCTCCCGAACACTGGGATGTGCATGGCGAGTACCTGGCGTGTAATCCACACCCAGCATGAGTTGATTGCTACGCTGAGGTCGGTGATACACAGCTAAATAAACGGGCTCATGTGGAGGGCAAACGCACTGGGTTTGTGTTTTCCAGTTGAAGAAGTATTGTATGTAGATTGTACCCACTGTTCTGAGCTCTGCTTTGGCCCGAGGTGCTCGAGCGACTCTGAACCAACTGGTTCCAGGGATGGTGGCCAAGTGAAAATACAAAAGGGAGAGTGGAGTGTGGACATCCCACCTTGGCATGGACACCCCACCTCAACACTCACACCCCCCTCAGCACCCACACGCCCAGTGAGGGACAGTGACGGGCACTGGGGCTGATGCTGGGAGGTACTGGTGGAGTGGCAGAGGGGAGATCCTGTCCAAGGGGTGATCCCAGTGGAAGGGAGATGCAGGCTGAGGGGACATCCTGAGTGAGGGGTGGTCCTGGCTTAGGGGTGCTCCTGGCTGAGGAGAGATCCTGAGTGAGGGGAGATCCAGGCTGAGGGAAGATCCTGAGTGAGGAGAGATTCTGAGTGAGGGAAGATCCTGAGTGAAGGAGGGTCCAGGCTGTGGTGGGAGCTGGCCGGGGAAATGTTCTGGCTGACAAGGGCTCCTCACTGAGGACAGATCCCGATGGACATCCTGACTGACGGAAGACCTGCGTGAGTGCTGACTGGGGTCTCCTGTCTGAAAGGAGATTCCTGGACAACTCTGGCCCTGTTTGAGCAGAGCCCCTGCCTGGGGTGGGAGCAACCAGGGGGTCTCTTGTCTGAGGGGGACTTCTGCCTGAGGAGAGCCCTGGCTGAGGGGAGACCCCGGCCGGGGCGGGCGCTGGCTGAGGGGCTCTTCCCAGGCGAGGGGGCCACACCCTGCCCGTGGTACGGCCCTGAGGGGTCCCTGCCGGGGGCCGAGCCCACAGACACAGCACTTTGTCCCGGTCCCGCAGCCGCGCCGCCCGTGACGGCCCCGGCCCCGCCCAGGGAGGGGGCGTGGCCAGCGGTGGGGGGGACGCGGCCACCTTGGAGGGGGCGTGTCCAGGGCGTGGCGAGCCCGGGGGCGCGCGGCGGGACCGGCCCCGGGGGGGTCCAGGGGCGCGCACGGAGGGGCGGGGCCGGTCCGTGAGGGGCGGGGCCAGTCCAGGCGGGGCGGGGCCTGGAGGGGCGTGGCTCGGGGGCGTGTCCGGGGCGGCGCGGAGGGGCGGCAGTCGGGCGGCAGCCGCGGCCGGGGCGGGAGCGGCGGCGGCGGCAGCGCGGGGCGGGCAGCGTCGCCCCGTGTAATGCGGCATGTCCAAGACGCTGCGCAAGAAGCGGCACTGGCTGAGCAAGGTGCAGGAGTGCGTGGTGTCCTGGGGCGGCCCGGCGGGCCCGGACCCCGACCTGCTGCGCGGCGGCGCCGAGCGCGGCGAGTTCCCGTACCTGGCGGGCCGCCTGCCCGCGGGCGGCGAGGGCGCGCAGGGCCCCGTGCTGCTCTCGGGCAAGGCGCCGGCGCCGGGGGACGTGCTGCTGGAGGTGAACGGCACCCCCGTGAGCGGCCTCACTCACCGCGACACGCTGGCCGTGGTGCGGCACTTCAGGGAGCCCGTGCGCCTCAAGACCGTGCGCCCAGGTGAGCGCCCCGGGGGCCGCGGGCCGCACCGGGGCCCTCCTCCCGTCGCCGCCGCTGCCGCCACGGAGCCGGACCGGGGCCCTCCCGCCGCCGCCCAGCCGGCCGCGCGTAGGCCCGGCCGCGCCGGCGCCCTGCGGGGCGGCGGGAGGGCCGCGGCGGGGAGCGGCGCCCGGGGGAACCGGGGGGCAACCGGGTGGGATCCAGGGGGGCAGCCGGGGCGAGGGTGCCGCGCTGGGAAAGTTTCCGCGGCTCCGGGAAGGCGGGGCGGGGGGGGGGGGGGCGGCCCCGCCGTCCCGGGGCAGCGCCGGGGTGGCCCCGGGGCGATGCGCGATCCCCCGGCCCGGCGGCCTCCGCCGGTGCGCGCCCGGGATGCTCCGCGGGTCCGGTGTTGGTGCGGTGTGACCCCCGCTGTCCCCCCGGGTCGCTCCCGGAGGGTCCCCGTGTCCTCTCGGAGTTGTTTTCCGTGGTGTTCGCACGATCCGCTGCTCGGAGGGGTGAGTGGGGAATGGCCGGGCTGCTGCCATCGCTCCGTCCTGCTGGTTTTTGCCAAAGACGGGCACCTAGAGGGAACTCCCGGGTGTTCTTTTTCCATGGGTTTGTGTTAATTTTGAGCACTCTTTAATTAGCTGGTGGTATCAGATGGTTGTGGTAAGTTCTTCTTTATCAACGTGCCTGTCAAATGTCAAATTAATGCCGAATAGTGGCACCTGCAGCCACACGAGCTGATGATTCAGGAGCTCCAGACGTACCTGCTGCTTTCCCGGTCAGGTATTCCAGGTGTGAGCCTGATGTCTTATGAGAAACTGTCGTGGGAAAAAACTGTTTTTCTCTGAATCCCAGTGGATTTCAGTATTTCCATGACTGGAGTCAGTAGTATTTCTCATAGAGCTGCTTTGCTGAACACCTGTCTTGTCCTTTTTTCATAACTGCTGGGTGCTGTTTGACTCCAGGTAAAAACAAATTTAAAACCGAATTTCCCCCGTTGAACAACAAAGAAAAAGCCGCCCAAAAAAAAAAAACGGGCCGGTGGGCCCGAATCAGGGCAATGCCAAAATAAAAAAAAAACAGACACACACCTTAAAAGCACCTACAGAAGCCTGGTAGGTTTTGAAAGATGTTTTGATTCCCAGAATTGGAGAAGTGGAGATCTCCAAATGGAGAAAATAGAAAAGAACAGCTGCAAGTTAGATGTGAAATAAGAGGATTTAAAAAAAAAGAAAGAGGGACAAATTGTTTAAGATAGGAAATAATAATCTCTTTTAAAAAGAGAAAGCTTGTGGAAGATGAAACCATTGTTCAAAGGGATTTCTGTGTTTACTATGGAGGGAAATAGGGGTATTCCTGTGCTGGGAATTTCCACAACAGAGATGTCAAACTGTACAAACTGGCAGAAAAGATTTAGAAGAAATTGGTGTGATTAATAGTAGAAAATGGCGAGAGCCAGATGATGTGCATGAGGAGTTCGTGGTAACAGCAACGTGTTGCCTGTTCCTTAAATCCTGGGTGGTGTGGAAGGGGTAGGAGGTCGGGAATATGGTACTGGTGGGGAAAAGGGTCCAGAAGATCATCAGGACTGGCTGGTGATTCCAGCAGGTTGGTTAAAACTCAGGTTAAAAAGGCGAATATTGGGCATGTGAATCAATACCACTTAATGAGGAGAGAGGGCTGCTGTTCAGAAGAAAGTCTCTTAATTTCTGCGGGTTCACTGGATGGTTTAATCAAAAGCAAGCATTTTGGTGGAGAGGATTTTCCAGCAGACTTTCAGTATCGCAGACTTGGATGAGGCTCTTGCTGAGTGAGCGTGGTGTGGCAGTGTAGCTGCCAAAAGATAAGAGCCGAATTCTCCTGTGGGTTAGTAACTAGTTCAAATAGAGGAATGGTTTTCTCAACAGGAGGAAACTGCTGCTGGAGTCTTGTAAGGACCTGTGCTGTTTAGCATAGTCATCCCGAGCTTGTAAACCCAAGGCTAGGTGAGTTGGTAAAAGAGAAGTTGCGTTTTTTTGTGCTGATTTTATATAACTTTTGGAACACATCAATCTGAATCTTCAGATCCAGCGATTTTTCCTGTACTGGAACATATTGCAAGCTTATTTACCACATCAGATGACTTTTGTAGTCATTCTCTGTGTTAGACTTAGTGTCCTTAAATACAGCATTTTAAAACATACTGGGTTTTGTTCGTTTTTTTTTTCCAAGGCTGCCACAGCTGCTCAGTGGCAGTTTTCCAGTCAGGGTGTATGTAATTAGGAAAGTTGTTGACAAGGCATTCTCTGTAAAGACCTGTGACTTTGAATTTGTGTTCCCTTGTGATCCAGAACTGTCCAGACCTTCCAGACTTTGGGAGCCATCTGGGAAGACATGTGGGGTCGTGTGTGTGGTGGAAGTGAAGAGAGCAAGGGCTTGGGAGCTGATGTGCTTGTAATATGTTAGAATCCTCAAAGACCCATAATTGCATTGCTTTAGGGTCTTCAGGGTCCTGTGTCTCATGCTTTTTCCCCAGTCAAAACTGCTCTTCCTCATCATGTTGAAAGGCATGGAGTGCTCTGCCCCACTGCTCCTCAGCTTTGGGTGCTGTTGGGACAGAAGTCTGAGGGCATCCGATGCCAGGGGTCGACAGTGAGGAATTTGTGTCTTTGCCTCTGAATTTTAGGGGTGCTCACAGCCTGCCTCAACATTTTACAAGGGCAAGCTTGGTGATTAAGAGCTGGCTGCATCTTCCAGGTGAGGTCTGTGCAGGTGACCCGGTGGCCTTGAGCGGCACGTCGGGGAGCTGGGCTGCTTTAGTTCCAGTCATAGTTGTAGTCCTTCACTAAAGGCAGCAACAGCTTTAGTTGACAGCAGTAAAATCTGTCTGTGATACTTCTCGCAAGCTCATAGAGAATTTAAAATGGAAATTTCAAGATGCTGTTTAGGCTTGTTTGATAAGACACTCGAAGGATATGAATGTTAATTTGAACGCCATCTGTTAACTGCACATCACAAATGATGGACCATTTTGTTGATGAAGAAATTTGTCCTTCCCGTTCTTGCTCTGTCTTTATTAGCTGAGGAGGGAGAACAAGACCTGTGTGCTGGGGATAGGTGTTGTGTCCCAGGTGAGGACGGCCTCAGGTGCATGGGATGGCTGGAAAATCCATGGATACGGTATCAACAGGGATTTACACAGCAAAGTCTGTGGGAGGCCAGTCTCGAGCTCTGCCAGCGCACCTGGACTGATGCTGAGATCCGAGTTGTCTGAATAAAACTTAAATTCTAGGTGATCACTGAGATGATAACCATACCTCTATTTGTATATAATTCATCATCGTCTCGATCAGATGAGAAAAGCAGCCCTACAGAGAGCCGGGGCTGCCTGTGCAGTGGGATATCAGGATGGATGTGCACGGAGGCGGCCGGCGCGGTGTAATGAGTCCATTTGTATTTTAGCCACGCTTGGGAAGTGCTGGTTCCCAGCTAATCGCCTGCTTACATGCATCCAAACGATGGCTGCTGTGTGCTCCAGGACCTTCCCTGTCTGGTGTTACTTGGATTAGGGAGTTATCCTTGTAACTGGCTGGTGCTGCTGCAGGTTCTTCTATTTCCGTAAAGGAAAAAGGGAAACATTTTGCTCTACTCACATCCGTTGTATCAGAGTGGTAAGTTCATCTTCTAAAGGTACCCACTTTCCTTCCTGTACCTGAAGGTACTGGAAAGATGAAGGTACTACAAGAAGGATGGAGAGGGACTTTTTATGAGCACGGGTGGTGATAGGATGAGGGGGAATGGGTTCAAACTGGAAGAGAGTAGGTTTAGATTAGAAATTAGGAAAAAATTCTTTGCTGTGAGGCACTAGAACAAGTTGCCCGGTGAAGCTGTGGCTGCCCCATCCCTGGAAGTGTCCAAGGCCAGGCTGGATGGGGCTTGGAGCAACCTGGGCTAGTGGAAGGTGTTCCTGCCCGTGGCAGGGGGTGGAACGAGATGATCTTTGAGGTCCTTTCCAACCCAAATCATGCTGTGATTCTGTGATTGCATAGAATCTGTGATTGCATGTGGCATTCAGGGGCTCTGAGCAACCTGATCTAGGGGGTGACATCCCTGCCTGTGATGGGGAAGTTGGAGCTGGATGATATTTAAGGTCCCTTTCAACCCAGCCATTCTATGATGATGATGATGATTCTGTGATGATTCAGAATTAGGCAGAAAGATGTTTGTATGTGCAGGCAAGCCTGTTTACTAAAATACTCCTCAATACAACTTGGGAGTGTGTTCTTTCTTCACAGCAGCATGGTAGCCAAAATACATCAAAACTAGACTGCAGGCTTAAAGTAAGAAAAATCACTGATATCTGCAAGTTCCTCTTTCTGCAGCCTGCCTTGCCAGATACTACGTAGGAAGGAATGTGCTTTCCTTCCAAACTAAGGAGCTTTGATGAATGCAGCTACTCTGTGGCAATTATTATGGTTTCATGACCACTCTAACTAGCATCTGGGAAGAAATGGGCGGAGTCTTGTAGCTCTTCCACTTGAGAAATGTTTCCAGAGCGCATAGTTTGGTCCCTTGGTTACGGAGGGAATGCACGTTGGCTCCGTTGTGTCAAAAGTGATCTTTAGTCAAAAAATGCAACAAGATTTAAAATGATGAAAACTCATCTTCAAACTAACTTTTTTTCAGTGCTCCTGAAGCTATTAAATCTTGTTTTCCTGTAGATTTGTTTCACAGTTGATGTTCACACTCATAGCTGGAGCTCTTCCTCCAGCTGGGGCATTTATTCCTTGCCTCCAGTCGGGATTGCCTGGCCTGTGGTAAGTGCCAGTTTGTGCTGTGATGGTTTTTTCCCAGTGGGACACATGGAGGACATCCCAGCTCATATCAAAGAATTGATGGGATCTTTTTCCAGCCCTTCACGTGTTTTATGGCGAATCCAATACACCCCAGCCCAAAGCTGACGTGTGTTTGTGCTCTGTGTGCACTCAACCATTGTCTGCAGCTTCCTGATGTGACATCTCTGACTGCCTCAGATC